CATATGCAAGTGTTCTATTTGCTGATGACACAACAGTGATATATTATCATAAAGATTACAGCTCCCTGATCTCTTTAGCTGCAGAAGCCAAGGGGAAAGCCGAAAGGTGGTGGAATATTGCTTTGGGGTACCTTATTTGCTGCATGTAGGGTATTTCGACAACAAAAAAAAAGCTATAAGGATCTTGGCTAATGCCAAGTATAGAGGAACTGCCCGACCACTGTTCAAAAAGTTGAAATGCTTATTCATTTTGAGTACTCTTGTGGAGATCCATAAGAATCTACCAAACTTAGTTACACAGTCTGATATTCATCAACATAAGACTAGAGGAGCATATAATATCAGAATACCCAGATATAGACTTACCAAATCGGCAAATAATTTTTTGAATTTCAGCTTGTATAATATCCTTCCAGATGATCAAAAAAAGCCCAACATGTTCTGTTTCAAAACAATTATCAAACTCTTTTTAATTGAAAATTCCTTTTATACGCTAGATGAATATGAAGAAAAGGTGAAACAAGGTGGAATAATTTGATTTATGCTCACTGAGACATTATCTTTAAATTATTTACTTTTATATGTATATTCTGTTTATATTCTATTGTGGTATATGTCTAGTTTCATATCTACTTAATGCTTTTATCAAATGAACAAACTTTTGTGACTTGCTACAAATATGCAACTGTATATAAAGTGGTTAAATAAAGTACTTACTTACCTACCTACTAATACAATAAAATAAGAAACTAATATGCAACGAACACATTTTGTGCTTACCTCCAATCCAAGTACTCATGTCATCTATACAATAGTCGACGCTAGTGTCATTACGAGCAGTATTTTCACTCGAATTTGAGACTTTCTCGTCAAAATTGTCGGTATTTTTCACTTTTCGAGGAGATTCCGGTATCGAAACGATTGGGCTGAACAACTCTAAGCCTTCTCTCCCAATTCTATCCATCCTGTAAGTACTTTGTAGCATGGGGGTAGATTCCAGGGCTTTTTTTCTGGGGGAATTTCTCGGATTTATCGAAGTAGGGCCTGGTTTGGCAAAATAGTCCTGGAAGAGTTGAATATAAACATCCAACCTTTTCAATTAGACAAACAGACAGACAGATAATAGACATGGGAATCAAATTTTAGATTTTCATCAATGAGGAGACCTAAAAATTAGTTTTTCTCCAAATTTTCAATTTTTACATTTTCCAAGTGTACTTCCCCTATGTTACATCTAAACGTGACCACATTTGTTTTGTCGATGTTGATTTCACCCTTCTTATGTCGACAATGATTTGATCAAGGAAATTAGAGGCGGTATTGCTATGCCAGAGGATAGTGATGTCGTCAGAGAAACATGTAAATTCACCACTTATGTCAACATAGACTAAGTCATTGACATAAATGAGAAACAACACCGGTCCCAAAACGGAACCTTGTGGGACCCCACTGCCAACGAAACGTTCCTCTGATGAAATTCCATCTAATAGAACATTCTGCCGCCGATGAGAAAGGTATGTCTCAAACCAAAGTTATGCAGATCCTCTAAATCCGTAAACTTTTAGCTTGCGGAAAAGTAGCATGTGGTTTACACAATCGAAGGCCTTGGTTACGTCACAAAACATGGCCGTCGCAGATTCTGTCATTAAGATTAGTGTACAGGTTTTCCAAGAGTGAAAATATGGCGTCTTGGATACTTTTTGAAGACTGAAAGCCAAACTGAAATAAATTTAACATATTGTTTTTCTAGAGGAAGGATATTACTCGTTTTTTTTACTAGCTGAGTTGTCAAGATCGCCTTTATGAATGATTTTAAATGAGTTTCATTCGGCAATTTTTAATTTTTTCAAGTTGGTATACTCGTCTTGAACATATGTTCACAGTACTGTTTAGCATGTTAGTTTTTTGGTGAGAGGCATAAAAGTTAGAAGGGTTATGCTTTCGAATAAAATGGATCAAAGAATTTGCATCAAATTTTGTGTAAAAATTGGAATTAGGCACTCAGAAACATTTGAAAAGTTGACAGTGGCATACGTTGATTGTACTCTAAAGCCGAAAAATGGTTAACAACGGGAAAAACCTTTCAAAAAAAGGCCAAAAAAAGGGAAAGAACAACCCCCCCACCGAACCACCAACAAAACAAAAACCAAAGAAAAACAAAAAAAAATAAAAAACTAAAAAAAAAATCGTTCAATTGTCATCAATACCTTCAGGCTTTTCAGCTTCTGAATCTGTGCAGCGACGTGTATTCTGTGTTCCTCCAAATATCTCCGCATTTCCTTATCGTTTCTGTTCCCCAGCAAGAGAATTTGGTGTAATTCTTTGTTCTGCATTTCCAACTGTTTTATTATCAACTGCAATTGCGTTTGAGGGGTTGACAAAGGCTCTACATTGCACAATACTTCCTTTGAATCAGATGTTACCAATCGGTTTTGATCGCTAGCGAAAAAATAAAATACAATCAGAGATCTTAGATCATCTTTGACTAATTAACAAATTTAATGAATGGATCGAAGAATGTGGCAAAGCCAAATGGGGAATCGTTTCCTGTCTCTCTGCAGCATTTACTGCAAAAAGACAACTTGATGAAGCTAGAGTCCAAAAGAATTACATTTGTCGATCCCACAGATAGCCCCCATAATGGTAATGCAAAACAACAATGGCGCTCCAATCAAGAAAAGGACATTTATACCACAACAAATAACTCCGGTAAATAAGAACGACGTGCAAGGAACAGAGAATGGTTTTGTTACATACACCATGAATGAAAAAGCTCTCAATTTTTTTTTAAACAGAAATGTGTTTATTATTTAAATGAATATTTAAATATGAAGCGAACAATAAGATTTCAGTCAGCATTTTTGTACTGGTGATTTTTATTCTTTTCTTGTATTAAAGAGTCCTATACATATGTAATAATAACTTGTGGCAAAATAAATATATCATTATAGAGCAGCTTGTTCAAATAAAACTTTACAGAAAATGATTCAATACAATATGTCACACATACCACAAAGGCTTGGGATCCACTATGATGGAAGTAGTTTGCTTGGAGCAGTTCAGAAGGCGGCAAAATTTCTTCATCACCGTGTAGCTGTGGTCCGAACTGCTTGAACAGTACTCTCTCATAGAGTGGGACAGTTTGTGCGAATGGCTTGTTCTTCCCGTGAAGAAACATCTTTGACACTGGGTGTACCTGAGACACTTTATGCATTTGTAGCGCAGGCCCATCAGGGGGTTCGTTTTGCATGTTGTACACTTTACTGAATGTAAAACTGGAAGAGACGCAGAAGACCATTTAGAAGATCGATATACTGATTCCCAGTTTCTGACTGATTCAAATGAAATGCCTATTTCGCACGTCCNAATAGTATTATCCAACAAAAAATTGTTTCTTTTAATATAAATTACCTGGTTCAGCAATTTTAATTCTATGTAGAAGAGGAATCCACGACAATATTTTAGGGCTGCTTTCTAACCACTTCACAAACATACTTTCATTGATTCCAACCAAACCTGGGGACTAAATTACAAACAGTTAAAAAAACATTTTTGCAAGGTAAAGTAAATTGAGAACTAATGCAATTAATAAGTATTGTGATCCCAAAAATTAATCTCTTGTAAAAATATACCCCTTTCAATTGATAAGTACTTCTAATAATAATAAATCTTTATTTCCCATTTTTATAAAGTTATAAAATTTGTATAGGAATCGTCGAAAAAAGAAATCGGAGACTAGAAGTTCCGGAAAATAAATAATGAAAACTACCTACTAATACACATAAATTCTTCAAAACAGTAATATCAGTTATCAATAAGAAAATCCTTGGCTTTCTTTTGAAGATATGCATGGTTTTGGATTTTTTCATAATATCTGGTAGCAAATTAGAGTCATAAAATAATAGAAATTTGTTGGCTCATAAATTTTGCAGTTGACTATTTGAAAGGAAGCCAATATTTCCAAAATATCAAAAATATATTAAGAAAAAAACTTTTTGGTTTAATACCTCTCCATCTTTATACAAAAATGGGTAACTGCCAAAGGAAGGATGAAAGCGATTTGTTCTAATTGAAAACAGAGTTATGTAGATCATACATAGATGAAAACCAAAATTATTTTTGCCACAATCCAATTTTTCCTGAAAATATCCCCCTTTCAATAAAAAAATATTCTTCTCACATTCTTGAAGCAGTTTTCCATTGCACTGTTGACCAAGTGAGATCCATAACTACCGTCTTCATGTAGGAATGTGGTAATTTCAACTATTTTCGATAAAAACGCTTGCAAACGCAACCTTGTCACGCAGTTATTATGATCAGCACACAAACCGAAGATGAAGCTGTACAACTCCTTCATTGAACAACTACTCAAAATGGATAAGGCTACTTTCGTAGATGATACTTGAATGGTCCCTCCTCGATGCCTGAAAAAAATAATTCAACATCATTTCACAGTGTCTATAACTTACCAAATAATGCTTGAAATAATAGTTTTTTTAACGCTTTGAAAGATTCTTACTCGTCAAATATATTATACAAAAAGTTCAGCATCAGCTCTGTTGCAAAGTCAATGTCGATATTGGTGTGATTAATTTTGTTTGAGGCAAAATAGATGTCGGACAGTACGGCCTCCAAGTCACAGCTTTCCAAACACAAAGAGCTTTCATTGGCACCTAGTCTGTGCTTTTCAAAGACCCCGGCTATTGTTGTTAAAGGTAGTTCTTCCACTAGAACAAAAATTAATCTCAAGTCTGTTAAGGATAATAGTATGCAACCCTTCATTTTCTATGAACCCTAGCATTGTAAAGTCATTTACATTTATTAATTTCTAGTTATTTTCTATTGAATTCTTTCACCTAGCAAGCCTCTGATAATCGATATTCGTCAAATAAGATTCATACTATATACTTCTGATTTATCCGACACCGAAGTTTTGTCTTTATTGTTTTAATATAATTTACTTACAACTATTATTTGTTCTATAAGCTATGTTTACAAATTCTTTCTTTATAAAACGGGCAATATTTTTGGTTGGTTCACCCAAATATGACAATGTCCTATAACTGACGTAATTGCATCTTGAATTTGGGTTGCCTGGTCCATGGCTTCCTTTTGTAGTGTTTTGGAAAAAATGGAGTCTATAATATCCACCTCATAACTGTTGTTGACAACAACTTGTTTGATCAAACTCAGCTCTCTCTGGAAATTACTCTCAGACGGTGGAATATTCAATAGTATGTGAAGCAAACTATTGAATGCAGCAACTTTATGCTGGTGAGGGTGTGTGGAACAATTATGTATGACAATGTCCATGTAAAATGGTTAATAAAAAATTGTAAATTCATGTTTATTGTTATTTTTCATAATAGTTAAGTCAAAGTAATTTGGAATTGGTGGAATTGACAAGTTCATTGAATATGTCTTCATAGGACGGGCAGAAACAAGTGCCCTTGCACCTATTTTCCTGAAAAACTAATAATTACATATTATTGAGCTTACAGTACAGAAATATACACAAGTTGGATACAACGAAGAAAAGGACAATACTTACTGTGTAAGGCATTTTGTAAAACTCTGAATTTCAAAGCCACCCTGTACATGGAGTATTTAACATAGTTACAATCATCCAGTCTTTGCCTGATTTCAACGAATTTGGGGTGGTCCCACTGTTTACAATTGGAGGCTTCACTAAAATTTTAAACAAAATCAATGTTTCTCATTCTTCGGTTGAAAATTCAAAAATATAAACAGTCGCGGTAACGTAAACTTAGCCACTTCTTATTTTATAGATTCATTTTCAACGCTATTTTTTTCATAATACTCTAAAAAAGTGTATATTCCTTCTATCATAAGCATATACCTACTTGAAATAATACGCGAAGCCGTTTTTATCTTCAACCTTCCTCCAGGAAGTAGTCATTATATCGAAAAAAATCACATCAAGACAGGTGCATTAGGTGCAATGACTTTAATTCAACAGGTAGACATGCAGACAACAGGTCCTTTTGCCCTGCGCCCTGCACCCTCCGCCCACACCCTTGTTAATTTGTTAATATGCAACAGAGAAATAGACATTTATGCAAAGGCAGATAAGTTCATTTTACGAAAATCGAGAACATGTATTAGCCGTACAGTCCAATATAAGATAGGGTGTGAAATATTTCCGTTGGAAAATTGATAAGATAAAAATTTTAAATTTTACTCTGGTACTGGACTTTCTTCCCCTCTCTCTCTTTAATTTCAATGGCCGTGGTTTCATTCGAGAGCATTTGACCAGACACCTCTTGTCCATTGTTAACAGAAGTTTCGTCAGAGGGCGCAGCGGTCTTACTCAAGGCAATGCTGCCACCCTGTTTTTTCATTAGCTTTTTATTTTAACTGAAACACTTACAGCTTGCCAAATGAAGGAAGAGCTTTCTGAATTCCATTTTGGTCCCGCCCATTAGATGTGCGTTCGTTAGAAGACTGTGAGGGCGAGAGACAGAGATTTCTCAAATCTCTTCCTAGATTCGACAAGCTATAGTTTTTTACTAGTCGCCTCCTTCTCGGGAGGCCTTCGGATAAAAATAACACAATATAGAACTGACTACTTCTTCAAATTCGTTGACATACAGGCTGGTAACTGCCGTAGGGGACCCACCAGTTCCTTTATCTTTCATTTCATTATTTATTCAAACGTAACTTTTGACTACAGTTTTACAAAAAAACATTACACGTTTTTATCAAGTATCTGCTGGGTTCATCCATATTTTATTTTAGATAATTTGGACCACTCTCCGTCTATAGACAGCAAACGCCACGCGTGTATACTTCTCGCTTAGTTAACACAATACACATCAGAATATTACAAAATTTAGTTAAAAATTGAAATTAATACAGGAAAATTAAAAACTTTAATTAATAAAACTTAACAAATCACAACCATCATTTAAAAAACAAAAACATTGATTTTCTAAATTAACTTCGATGAATTAAAAGTGAAATACCTAAGGAATCCCTAACTGGAATCACTGCTGGACTAAAAAAAAAATAAATCTGGTTAATTTGTAGAAAAAAAAAAGATTTCATTATTTCCTCCATGAACAGGACTTGTTTTACATATCAAAGCATTGAACTGAACATTTCATTTTTAAACTTAATGCATTGTTCTTTACTCAAAATGAGATTAAAACAAATCCAGTTAGTCTGAGGAAACAGTTTATAAAATAGAACAAGTAATTTTTTAACCTCTGAAAAGTCACTGGAAAGTTGACCAAACAAGGTCTTCTCTAAAAATAAGAAAAACACGATTAATGCATTATGAAAATGAACTTCAATTTACTCTTACCGCACTGTTTTTGGTTTTTATATAAAGGCCCTTCATATAATAATTCATATGTAGAAGATACCTGAAATAATTCAAATCAAAATGAATAACAGATCAAATATAAAATGCCCAGTGGAACAGACTGAAAAATGCTTTCAAACATAATGCCTAAGTCAATTTTCTATATTATAATATAACCCATCAAATTCGGTTGGTTGTGTGATTGTGTAAGTAAAAACCTATTTTCATTTTGTAAGCAGTACTTATGTGTAGTTTTTAAAAATTATCAACAGTGAACACAGAAAAAGGCGAACTTTCTAGAAGCTAATTCTCAATTACCCTAAAAAAGATGTCTACTGATTTTAACAATGATTAAAATTTCAAATTGAAATAATAAATTACATTAATGTTTCATCATCTACAAAGTTACAGTTGAAAATAACAATGTTAAGAAGAGTTTTTAAAAAATATTCATAATAACCAGCATTTACATCAGAAATTTTAGTGACAAATTTCAACTTAGCCTGCAGTTGAACAAATAGTAGCATTTATGTCTCCAGAAAGAAATGCTTGAACTTCTTGAAGACTGATAACTTTAGTCCTTTGGTAGAGAAATATATGCTTGAATTGCCTGATGGTAAAAGCTCCCTTCTCAAAATTTCGCTGGGGATAGCCAGTTTGTTACAATGTCTAGTATTGTTACTACATTGTGTAGGAATCCTGTGAATGATATCTGATTCAATTCCATAACGAAAGTTTGGAATACAAACGGAACAGTAAAAATGTTTTTTGTGTAATTCAATGTTTATATTAAAATAGTTGTTGCAAGAGGGCTTTTTCTCCCATTTTTTGTCTCGAAATCCTTTTTTGTAGTTCATTTTTAAAATAATTACTTTCTTCCTTCTTTTGGGAATTTATTATATTTTCTGTGTGAAGATGGAGAAGTAAAAACCCAAAACATTTCTTACCCGAAATTAATCTCTCCTAAAATAATACTCTATTCAATTCAACCATCAAGTTCTTTTTTATATTATCACAGCTTTCCAACTTTAGTTATGTCAATTAACCGATTTCCATAGATTATCAAAAGTGATATTTTAATAACAAACCCTTATCTCAATAGAAAACAGAATTGAAATTTACTGACCGCTTGCGCATCTGTACTCAGCAAGTAATGCAACTCTTTGGAAACCTTTTCGGCCTCAATTGCTAAATCCATGTTACACATAGTTTTCCTGAACCGTTTCTTCTTGACGTTTTTCAGAGGGGGACATATGCCGCTATTCATTTCAAGTTTATCTTTCGGTTTCTCTACGTAGTCGCACACCGCTATATGAGAAATATCAGCAGTCTTAAATAATAGTGCTTTGTTGTCTCCGACGTTAGTCTTGTACGATTCGACAATCGTTGGCAACTTCTTCATGGTGCCATACAATCTAGATCTGCCGATATTCAGAATAATTCTGCTGTCGTCGACATTGTAGGTGATCTGCAGTAACTTTTTCAGCTTTTCTGGTTTGGAGTGAAGGATTTCACGAATATATCTTGCTTCCTCCTAAGAAATGAATTAGTAAAGCGAAAGTTTATTTCGTAATTACTTACTAAAGGAAGCCTGAGTATAAATTGTTCCTCTAAAGTAAATTTATCTTTGTCGTTATCCATCCTTTCAATAATTTTCAATGGAAATTCTCATTTATTATATTCAAAAACCCTCAACGAATAATTCACGGAAGTGACAACTGTCGGAACATAGAACACATAGAGAAATTGTATATTGTCTTTGATAGAACACACCTCCCTCAGAGTTACTCTGAGTAGAACACACAAAAAATTGCACCTAGAGACAGCAGGTCGCTCGCAAGAGCTTTTAGCGGAAGATTTCATTTCACAACACAAGCCGAGTTCCTCAATTCAACAGAAATATCTGATGGATTGCTTCAATAAATGTAAATAGGCTAACGTTTTGAATGAAATGAATAATCGATCCATTGGATCAATTTGTGGATCCATCAGTGAATTTAAGAACTCGCCTACAGTGTAAGTTAAAAAAATGTAATTTTAACAAGCACAAGAAGGCACTAGATAACACAAAAAAAAATAAAAATAAAGTCAAGATGTATGTTTGATACATATTTAACAAACACCGTCGATAGTTCTTTTTCAATGAATACTTTCTATGAAATGCGGAAAATAACTGTCGTAAAACCTATTCCCAAAAACAAGTAATCCTTCAACAATGAAAGATTTCCATCCATAAGTATCCTACCAACGCTTTCGAATATCCCGGAACAAGATCATCTCAATGAGGAAATGGTGCTAACCCGTAAACATTCTGGTTTCAGCGACCGTTGCATAGTTGTGAGTCAGCACTTACAGATATTAGTTACTCAAGATTTAAACGAAATCACTCTCCTTCTACTTTGAAACGTTCGATGCAGATTTCTGCATTTGTTTGGCCCAGACTTCTGTTTTGATGCAGCAAACCGGTATTATCTTGTGATTCGAGAGTAGAGTATGGTTTGGACAGAGTCTGTGGAGTGATGTCTTTTAATCAATAAATTGGATAATTGAAGCTAGCAACTACGCATATATTTTCGGTTACATATTACACTATTTATTGTTTCAATTTTCGTTTTGTTAAAATGACGTAAATCTAATGGTTTCGCGATATGAAGCAGTCGAAATGATAATACGTGTTCAAAAGTCGAAATCATTAGTAGGTACCCACAGACCGGAATGTCGGTACGAACATTTTTTGCTGGTGACAGTTATAGTGAAAAAAATCTAAATCATTTGATGAAAACTTGTGATCAAAAAATGCAAAATGAACATCTGATCGCTAAATATATCTATGCTGTTAGTAATAGCACAATCTAATGTGCTGATGTTCAAAAGCTTAAATATGTTATATTCTTGGTATTCATTAGACAAACATGTATTTAAATAAATTACTTCAATATTATGAAAGAAAATAAATCATCTTAATACCACTACCACTATTAGTCTGTCGTTAACCCAGGTCTGTTTGTTGTTCGTCAACCTAGGTATGTTCGTTGACATAGTTCTCATAACAAAATATATATGAGAGCAGATCGCTGTCTGTAGACGCAGTTTGAAATCATACTTCATAAGTTCGACCTTTGAATACTTCTGACTTCACCCAAAATCCCCGAATTAATTTTTTCAATGTACGAATTTCGTGAAGATACAGAAAATAAGGAACTATTATTTATTTAGTTTCAAAATGAACGATTATGTGGATAAGTTGAAGGAAGATTTCGATATACAAGAGAATTTGACACCTTTGATTTTCACTAGATTTAGTAAAACACCCTATCCAAATAAAAACAAGGAAGCTGCTTTTGGAGAAAAACTGTGTATTCTATACCGTATTGAATTTATGGTTTATCACATTAGATATTCTCTGAAAATTCTGGCTTTTGCCTATGTGAGCAACATATAGGATTCAATATTAATTTCAGCTGCTTAGGGTAAATTCATGCACCAGTCTTAAGTAGTAAGAATTCCTGCTTTTTATTTGTAATCACTTTAAACTTAGGGACTGATACTGTGAGATGGGTGGGTAAGTATATATGATACAATGTAATATCTACGCTCATGCATGAATGTTGCCATTAAAAATCAATGATCTAACAACTCATTATGACTATGATTCAAAATTGGTGCATGGATACCCCGTTAGCTTATCTGGAGAGCACTATTCCCAATTTTTCAATGAAAAAAATGAACATTTTCATCCCTAACTTTTTCAGGAAAAATCTCATGAGATCTTAAAGCTTGATACTAGATTGCCTGATGATGTCCATTTGGAGAAGGAACTTGCAACATTCAGAAATTTTCTCAGAAGATATCGAAACCTGAATGCCACATTTCGATTACTCATTCGTTTTTCTGAGTTATTTGAGAGTAGAAGGCTGATAACAGATACAGTCTTGACCAAACAGGATAAAGTAACTTTGAAAACTAACGACGAAGGTTGTTTATCCATAGTTTACTCGAGTGTTGAGAATGGGATCCTCATAAGGTTTTCATGGAAAATCGAGTGGAACATTAAAGAACGTCAATTTATGGATGTGATTGACGTTGCTTATAATAATTTTAGTAAGTAATAATATACCGAAGTAGTTCAGAGACAAAATTCAACAAAAATGATGTTTCAACATACAGGAAGTGTAGTACTCTTGTCGAACAAAAAAAATTAAAAGTTGTGCTTTTTTATATAAACAGGAAAATGTTGATATTAAGTATGAGGTACTTTCCCTTATTACGCAGAGAGTGAAGTTTCGGGTATGATTTCCATGTCAGAATCAGTCTCCCTAGGAATAAAAATTGATGTGTTCTTTGAAATTTTTGATTAAACATCCGTTTTTGTTTTACAGGGGTGGTCAAGTTTTTGGAACGCCCTGTATAATGGTATAACACATTGTGATTCTATATTAAAACAAACAATTCAGTTTTAGGCCTACCAAATGCCAGGTACATTGAAAAAGAGATGACTGTGTTGACACACCATTCGCTGGATTTTGGTATTAAGTTGAAGATTTGGCGACTTCTTATGATCGATTTGAGGAATGCAGAAGAGTGGTTAGAACAGAAAAGAACTAGGCGTAAAAAGTCTTTGAATACCAACGGAGAATCTGTTTTGGTAATATCAGACAGTGAAGATGAAATCGAAATGATCCCCACAAATGAAATAAGAGGCCAGAAGCAGCAACCTCGAACAAGAGAATCTCCTGTTATATACTTATCAGACTGAAATAAAGATATAATTTTATTTATTATAGAATTAAAAAATGGTTTTATATGGTTCGACTTTGTTTGATCTTATGTTAAATCATTTGAAATTGATTGTTTTGTTTTTTAATTGAAAATGTGATTTTGAAAGTAGTACTTCACACTATTTATTGTTTCAATTTTCGTTTTGTTAAAATGACGTAAATCTAATGGTTTCGCGATAAAAAGAGAGCCATTAGATATGTGTTCAAACTAGGACCGCGCAATTCATGTAGGCAGTTATTTGCAGAAAAAAATATATTGACAGTTGTGGCTCTCTTTGTAATGGAAACTGCGTGTCTTATACACAAACATAGGTCAAAATTTGAATATATTTCTACGTGTCATAGCACTCGCCTAAAATCTAAAAATAATTTTAAATTACCATTGCCTTCTTCATCCCTAGTAGAGGACTCCATATTCTATAACGGTGTTGAAATGAATAATCACTTACCGTCTCATTTTAGAAATATCCACGATAGTATTGACAGCTTTAGAAAATACACAAAAAACTTCTCGCGAGTAGACCCTGTTATAGTTTGCAAGAATTTTACAATGACAACTTCCATTGAAATTGTGAACTGCCATCTGTAATTTATTGCGGGTACTGTATAGCATACTCGAGATTAGACTGCTAAATTATAAGTCGTAAAATTGACAAAATGTTCAAATAACATTTTATGATTGATATTTTATTTATATATTGACACGTATTCTATTGAATAAATGTGTAATTGCTAAATGTAGATATGTGTTTATATACTGCTTGTTTATATAACAATTTTATTTTACATAATTGTGTGTATATTCTACTTTGTCAACAAAACAAGAGTTTTTTCGACAATAAAGTATATTTTGATTGATTGCCTCAGTTTATCAATCCATAAATTAAGGAACTATGAAACATTGCATGATAAGCGGTATGGGCAACTTCATTACCAACTTTTATTTATCTGCCTGATTGCATAGACCTTGCATGATACATTTTTTGCTAGTTTGTCAATATGGGGTTTCCAAGTTAATTTTGAATCAATGGCTATACCACGACATTTCACATTATTCGAGAGATTATGAGACAGCGAGAACATAACTGTTTGTGTCTTGCTTTTATTCACACATAGGCTATTCGCATTAAACCAGTCCGTAGCTTCTTGAATAACCGGCTTTTTTTAGTTCCGATGACTCTTCAATTTTTTTCCCGAATGGCGAAGGAAGCGTCATCGGCGAATAGCATTGTAAACATAGAAACGATAGTACTTGGCTACCCGTCTTGAATAAAAATTTGGATAGTGGCTAAAAGGCGACAGACTGATATTGGAGAGCACCTTGTATTACATCGAATGTTTCAGTAGTCAATCAACTAATTTGACGAATGCAGCCTCAACAAATTGGCTGTTACAATTTTCAAAGTTCGGAAGTCCCTGCTGTTGCTTATTGAAACTGAAAGAATTGAACACAAATGAAAATACTTTGGAGCCATTAGAAAATATTTAATTTTTTAATTATCATTCATACATTACATCTCTGATAGTACTTACATCTTGTTCAGCTTATTGTTCAATCCCAATCTTGACCGAGATACTCCATTACTGATTCACTCAATAATATTCAGAAGTGGGGCTTTACACCATACCTGACAGCACATCAGAAGTGGGATATATTTGTGCGTTGAATTGATGGTAATAGAAACACCTTCAATAATTTTAACATGTCCTCAAAAACTAAATAAAGTTGATGAAATGCATAAAATATGTTGCCAAGTGAAACTGAAGGAATTGAAAACACTTGGAAGTCGTGGGAAAATATTTAATTTTTCAATTATCATTCACACATTACATCTCTGATAGTACTTACATCTTGTTCAGCTTATTGTTCAATCCCAATCTTGACTGAGATACTCCATTACTGATTCACTCAATAATATTCAGAAGTGGCGCATTACACCATACCTGACTACAAATCAGAAGTGGGATCTAGCTTTCTTCTCAAGTATGAATTGCAGGCATCAGCTAGGATACTAGTTCTAACTTGTGCATCCTTTCATGCCTTTTAATACTGCCTCCTGTACTGAACAACTTCTGACAAACCTTACACTCAAAAGGCTTCTTCCCCACATGAACCCTTTCGTGCTCCTTCAAATTCCACTCACGGTAAAAAGTTTTGGAGCACATCTTGCAGCTGAAAGGCTTTTCGTCGGTGTGGAACTTCTCGTGCCGTCTCAAGTGACTCTCGAAAATGAAGCATCTCGCGCAGGTCTGGCACTGGAACGGTTTGTCTCCAGTGTGGAGTTTCTCATGGATGCTCAAACTAGCTTTGCGACAGAAAGTCTTGGGGCAGACGTTGCACCGGAAAGGCTTCTCTTCCTTGTGGACGTTCTCGTGCACTTGGAGGTTGCGCCAGTGCTTGAACGTGGCTGAGCAGATTTCGCAGGAGTAGGCTCGTTTGGTTTCGTGGGTGAGTTCGTGGCAGTTCAACAACGTCTTCTGGGTGAACGCTTTCTGGCAGACTTTACACTGGAAAGGTTTCTCTCCGGTGTGTATTCTTTCGTGGATTTTCAGGCTGCTCTCTCGCCTGAACGTTTTTGAGCAAGTCAGGCACTTGTACAGGCCTTCTCCAGTGTGGATCGTCCGGTGGTCTCGGAGAACGCCCCTGAATAGAATAGAAATTTATTCGTCTTCAAAAGTACCAGATTCAAAAACAGGATTTTATCAGACTAGCAATGGAACAGATATAAAATGTATAATAGTATATTTATACTGGATACTGGACAAAAAATAAGTATATGTATCGTTTATTTAGCACAAGCTAATGCAGTTACAATATTAGTCTTAATCTAGGTTAAAAATTTAAATGTCACAATTAAAATTTAAAATC